TGGGTACGATGCTGAATGGATTCAAGTTCGACACAGTTCGGCTGACAACTGCCTTGAGTAGTGACCACGTTAATAGTGTAGGCCGAGTTCCTTGGCTAGCTGGGCTACTTCGACAGCTAGAACTGAGACTGGCTGCTTTCCTCAGACAGACACGACTGGCACTCGCACGGTGGCGCGGCCACCTTCGTCTGCTTGATCAGCTGGTGAGCAGCACGACATGCCTTGAGGTCTATTTGGCCAAGGTAGATGCCGAGTTGGCTCGGCTCTATCGGCCCTCCAAGTTGGTCTCCACCTGCCTGCAACAAATAGATGAAGTTGAGGTAATAGCTTTTGCATTTTCATTCTGGACGCAAAACCTATTCTTTTAGGAAGAACTGAGGTTCTGAACTGTTTTAGTATAATATTATTTTCTGGACTTGGCATAATCAATTAAAGAGAAATTGCTATCCTGATAAGGCACTTATTATCAAATTATTGTAGATACTATGATCAATTTTACCAAAAACTCAGGAAATTTTATAAATTCCACTAATGATTTTCGGATGTAAGTATCGTTCATCTTATATCCTTGTTTTGTACCCTCAGCCTTGATGTTCTATGTCAATCCAAACATGGTTAGGAGGATGTAAGCTTCTCAGACATAATTATCTGTACTAAACTTTAAAAATAGATTAGTAAGATAGTAGTCTTGTAGAAGACCTTTAGAATGATGTCAAATATTACTTATTACCCTTATGGATTCAGCTTATTTTATACTGAATCTATGAGATATAGACAAAAGCTCCTTTTATCTTGTTTCCAGAGTAACTCTTCAAAGTCGGCTCCCAAAGCATAAATTTCCTGCTAATTGCCACCTTTTAAAAAAATTTATTTTGTCAGACCAAATCATGGTTCAGCAGGCCGAAGATTTTAAACACTCTTACCTTACGTGCTCAAGACACTTTAAAGATATGGCAGGCACAAATCTACAGTTATATCTGATAAATTTCACTTAATAAGTTCATCCATAACTGATATTATCCTTATATAATTTATTATAGTAAGCTAAACTTGTATAAATGTTAATACTATAAGTTTAATAGGGGTCAGATAGTTGTTGGTAGTTATTTCAAGAATACAAATGATGTTTTTCCTTCAGCAATCTTGCGTAGAATAATGTAAGGAATAGAGATTTGCCCTAATCAATAATTAGTCTATCCGAATTTATGACGTAAATCTATCCGTAATACCCTGAGCCCAAATTAAGATAAAGTATAAAAAAGTTTGGAAGATGTGAAAGCTTCCTAACCACTGAAAAGTTGCAGATATAGGCTTAAAAATACCTTATTTTTTAATGTCATTTTTAGGGCAATGATATAATCAGTGAGACCTTTTCAGCTGGCTTTGTGTTTAAAGAATTTGGGGCCGGCCACAAAGGTCAGTTCTATTTAGTGTTTGGCCTTCAAGTGGTTTGCTATTTCTATTAAAGGGCTTCTTCAAATAAAATGGTGTTATGGAAGGAGGTAGCAAGATGCAGGTGAGTCTGCATATATCACTATAATTAATAGTATTTAAGACATGGATTCAGCCTACGTTTTCGTACTTCTCCGTATTTCTTCTTTCACTTTATCCACTTTCTAATCGTTTCAATTTAATCTGCTATTATATAGTATACTTATGTATTCTCTGGCTAAACTTTTGCTCATCTATGTTCTCATTTTTCCCTTAATATTTCTTGTTTAATTTGTGGCCCGTTGATCTCCTGCTGTGTAGTTAAGGCTCACTGAGATGCGTGCAATTGAACTTGCCATGCCTAGTCTTCAGACATCTATTGTTCGACTCTTTGCCACCAGCGTGGCTCTCGGAGGTCCAGACGTCAGCTTTATTCAGACAGCGCACACAAACGTCAATGGAAGCATAGGGAATTCATCCGTTGGTTCTGAGGCCTGCTTCTGGCAAGCCAACGACTGCTCCTCTTCTTTCGCTGGAGGTGCCGTGTCTATTTTCACAAATCCGCATAATATCGGAGTATCTACGCCCCCTCCACCCCCGCCTTTTCCAATCTGGTCTACTGCTGCAAGCAATTCTACAAGTGCTACGGCCATTAATCCCAGTCACTCATATGGAGGACCTTCACTGACCCGGGGAGCCTCAGCCAATACTTTGGGTGGCAGTGCTTCTATGCTGGGAGGGAGCGGAGGCCTAGCTCAGGCCGGGTTGATGCAGGCTGAGTGCAATCTGTTTAGACGCATCAACTTGATCGTGCCGCGAGTGACCAGAATGGCCAAACGGCTGAGTGAACGACGCCGTCTATTAGAGCAGGCATTTAAAGAGAACAAAAGGGTACGTCTAGATTGTGAGACTAGCCTGCAAGTTGGATCAGGTTATGATAGCTCTAGCAAATTTTATTTCAGACAATATATAATGCTAGTTGGTTAAGAGTATTACATATTATCACTTTTCCTATTATCCTTCGCCCTATTTCCCAACTTATTTTTCTAAATTTTGTTAAGTGAAGAGGTTGTTTGACCTTGTTTTCGCAACATGGTCATATTGTTAGGAAGACTCATTGGAACGCACCTCGT